TTTAAAAACTGGAAAACGTATCACAACAATTATATCATCAGTAAAAGTGCTGTTTGTGTGTGAAAAATGCAAAAAAAGTCACTTTCACTGACAATATCATCGCTGTGATATGTTTTACTGTTTTGAATCACTAATATTTGTGTTCAGCGAAGTCTCCCGAGTAAAACAGTACCCCCCATGTACAGGTTTTAGGGTGTCGTAGAACATTACAGGGTAAAATACAGTGCTAGCAAATTAAATTCTCTGGAATTTCGGCCTGGGTTGGCAGGCAGGTCCCTCAAATTGCAATCAATAAAATTACTGAATTATGTAAAAATATTACATAAATACGCACGTAGAATTTAAATATATATGCATATTTATATATTTGAAGTCTACGTGTATATTTATATAATTATTTATGTAATTTTGTATATGGACATATGTATATTTCTTATTATTTTTATTTATTTTATATACATAGATATATATACAAATTCATTCTAAGTGTATTTTGATATAAATATATATATATTAATTTTAAAATACAGTTAGAATAAAATTTCATATAGATATATAATTTTTTTTATTTTTTATTATTATTTTAAATTTTTATTTATTAAATTTAAATTACTTATTATTTATATTTTATAATAATATATATACAATATATATAGTTATTATATATATTATATATACGTGCGTAATTTAATTATAAGTGTATTTTTATATTAATATAAGTACATATTAATATAAAAATACACTTAGTATGACATTATATATATGATAGATAGACATATATTATATAGATATAATATATGTCTATATATCATATTTATACACATATATAATTTTTTTAATTTTTTTTATTAACACTAACTTTATTTTTTTTTTTGATTTTACACTAGCAGGGAGACTGCCTGTCAGCACAGACAGTCCCCCTGCAGGCAGCACAATGGACACCTATTGTGACCATGTGATCGCTGTGTTAAGCGATCACATGGCCATAGGGGTCCTAATCTGCTGTGGGGAGACTGTCTGGGCTGCAGGCAATCTCCCCACAACCGGAGCAACGCTGATCGCCGCCGGGGGAACGACGGCGATCAGGTAAGTACCCCCAGACCGTTAGGACGGTTCAGGACCGTCATCGGTCCTCAAGGCAAAAATGCCGATGACGGTCCTGAACCGTCCTCGGTCGCTAAGGGGTTAAGGACACTGACTGCTATTCGCTTTAGAGACACCAGATATGAGTGGCAAAGTACACGGGCAGAGGTCTGCAGAGCACACGCTGAAGGAGGCCTGACACCCGCATTAAGGACACTGACTGCTATTAGCTTACACTGAAAAACTTTTTTTCTTTGTAAAAGCACGCTATAGAGACACCAGATATGAGTGGCAAAGTACACGGGCAGAGGTCTGCAGAGCACACGCTGAAGGAGGCCTGACACCCGCTTTAAGGACACTGACTGCTATTAGCTTACACTGAAAACTTTTTTTCTTTGTAAAAGCACGCTATAGAGACACCAGATATGAGTGGCAAAGTACACGGGCAGAGGTCTGCAGAGCACACGCTGAAGGAGGCCTGACACCCGCTTTAAGGACACTGACTGCTATTAGCTTACACTGAAAACCTTTTTTCTTTGTAAAAGCACGCTATAGAGACACCAGATATGAGTGGCAAAGTACACGGGCAAAGGTCTGCAGAGCACACGCTGAAGGAGGCCTGACACCCGCTTTAAGGACACTGACTGCTATTAGCTTACACTGAAAAACTTTTTTTCTTTGTAAAAGCACGCTATAGAGACACCAGATATGAGTGGCAAAGTACACGGGCAAAGGTCTGCAGAGCACACGCTGAAGGAGGCCTGACACCTGCTTAAGGACACTGACTGCTATTAGCTTACACTGAAAAACTTTTTTTCTTTGTAAAAGCACGCTATAGAGACACCAGATATGAGTGGCAAAGTACACGGGCAGAGGTCTGCAGAGCACACGCTGAAGGAGGCCTGACACCCAGACGCTTGCAGACAACTAACTGCTATTCAATCTATTACAGTGAAAAAAATGTTTTTTCTTTTTAAATGTCAAGCTTAAGCTATTGTGACACCAGATATGAGTCGTGGCACTGGGCAAATGGGCACAGTATCCACTGTGAGCCTGACACACCCGCTTTAAGGACACTGACTGCTATTCAATCTATAACAGTGAAAAAAGTTTTTTGTTTTTAAATGCAAGCTATTGTGACACCAGATATGAGTGGTGGCACTGACTGGGCAAATGGGCACAGTATCCACTATGAGCCTGACACAGAAGCTGGCAGCAGTGGCAGACAACTAACTGCTATTCAATCTATAACAGTGAAAAAAGTTTTTTGTTTTTAAATGCAAGCTATTGTGACGTGAGTGAGTGGTGGCACTGGGCACAGTATCCACTGTGAGCCTGACACAGAAGCTGGCAGCAGTGGCAGACAACTAACTGCAATTACATTACACACAAAAAAAAAAAAAAAAGCATACTGATGTTCTAGCCCTAAAAAGGGTTTTTTGGTGTGCTGTCCTTACAGCAGAGATCAGATGAGTCCTTCAGGACTGTAGTGGACACTGTATACCCTAACCTAGCTATGCATTTCCCTATCTAATCAACAGCAGCTACACTTTCCCTCCTCTCACTAAGCATGCAGCTTGAGAATGAATCTAAAATGGATGCTGTCCAGTAGGTGAGAGGGTCTGCTAGGGAGGGTGTGCTGCTAATTGGCTGGAATGTGTCTGCTGACTGTCAAAGTTTACTCAATGGTGACGAATAGGGGGTGGATCGAACCGCGCATGTGTTCGCCGTCCGCGGCGGACGCGAACACGCTATGGTCACCAGGAACTGTCCGCCGACGAACCGTTCGGTGCATCACTAGCTGCTATATTTAAACCAGTGATCAATAGCTAAGAGGTACTTCAACAATATTGTAATTCCGGGGTAATACCCTCACAAGTCGATCTGAGAGGTCAGTTTATAGGGAAAACTGTTTCCTGAAGGAAATTCTAAAACAATTTCCATATGTCCTTTTCAGACTTTACATGCTGGAAAAACACAGTTGCTGTGGCTTTCTGCAGTGTGCATACCGGCAAGGAGGGCAAGGTTGAGGAATGGGTGGAAGATGATGTGTGCTAATCTGCTAAATAGTACATTTTGTGGCTTGCTCTTCATATCTGAGAGTCAAATTGAAGCGTCTAATAGTGTGCTTTCTGTGCACTTGTAAACATTCTAATTGTTTTGCTGCTAATCTGCTAAGTAGTACATTTTGGGGCCTGTGGTGCACTTCATATCTGCGAGTCAAATCGAAATGCCTTATAGTGCGGTTACAGCGTAATTGTAAACATTCTAATTGTTTTGTTCCTAAACTGCTAAATAGTACATTTTGGGGCCTGTTCTTCATATCTGAGAGTCAAACAGAAGCGTCTAATACTGCGGTTACAGCGCAATTGTGAACATTCTAATTGTTTGGCTGCTAATCTGCTAAATAATAAATTTTGGGGCCTGCGGTGCACTTCATCTCTTAGAGTCAAATAGAAGCGTCAAATTGTGCGCTTACTGCGCACGTGTAAACATTCTAATTGTTTTGCTGCTAAACTGCTAAATAGTACATTTTGGGGCCTGTGGTGCACTTCATATCCGAGAGTCAAATAGAAGCGTCAAATAGTGCGCTTACTGCGCAATGGTAAACATTCTTATTTTTTGGGTGCTAATCTGCTAAATAGTACATTTTGGGGCCTGTTCTTCATATCTGAGAGTCAATTCGAAGCGTCTAATAGTGTGCTTAGAGCGCAGTGGTAAACATTCTTATTTTCTGGGTACTTATCTGCTAAATAGTACATTTTGGGGCGTGCACTTCATATCTGAGAGTCAAATAGAAGCGCCTAATACTGCGTTTACAGCGCAGTAGTAAACATTCTAATTGTTTTGCTGCTAATCTGCTAAATAGTACATTTGCGGCCTGCAGTGCACTTCATATCTGAAAGCCAAATAGAAGCATCAAATAGTGCGCTTACTGTGCAGTGGTAAACATTCTATTTGTTTTGCTGCTAATCTGTTGCTTACATTGGAGTTTTAAAAAGTAAATTTAAAAAAAAAAAATTGCCGCTAAATCGTATATTTGGGGTGTTCACTTCATATCTGAGAGTCAAATCGAAGCGTAACTTTGATTCAAATTTACTGCATCGGTCACTTGTAATATTGTTTCACACCCACAACACTTGTTACACAGATCTAAGTGATAGAAAACAGATTGATATTTTCTACACTAGAAACTACCAGATAACAAGCTGCTATATTTAAACAAGTGATCAATAGCTAAGAGGTACTTCAACAATATTGTAATTCTGGGGCAATACCCTCACTGAGAGGTCAGTTTATAGGGAAAACTGTTGCCTGGAGGAAATTCTAAAACAATTTCCATATGTCCTTTGCAGACTGTACATGCTGGAAAAACACAGGTGCCAACTGCTGTGGCTTTCTGCATACTGGTAAGGAGGGCAGGGTTGAGGAGTGGGTGGAAGATGATGTGTAGGATGATGAGGTCCTAGACCCCACATGAAATCAAGGTCATGCGAGTGACATGTGCAATTTGGAGGAAGAGGCGCCGTGGCACAGAGGCACCAGCACAGCATAAGAGGGAGCAGGTTGCAAAAGCAGAGCGGCCGTCCCAAGTGCTCGTCGGCATGTATTAGCTCGAGAATTACCAGTTATCCAAGTAATACATATAGCGATCAAAGGATCCATAATAGACTTGAGCGAACCTGAACTGCAAAGTTTGGGTTCGTACCAGATTTAACGATCCATTCGTAGTTTTACAGTGAGGTGGGCAGTTCCGGTGACCAGGACCCAGACACTGTCAGGATGTGACATTCACTGTAGTGGCTGTGCACGCATTTGGCATTGTCACCCTGCTGCTGCTCGCCTGTCTGCGCTGCAGCGTAACTTCGGCCTTTCCGCTCACCGCCTCATGAGACTTTGCAAGCAGCAGCAGGCAATAGTGGAGTTTCAGCTGCAGCACGCACGGGTCAGTGGTTCTGCACCGAACTTACCTCCAATTGATCAGCGTTAAAGGATTTCAAGTGGACTCATTACAATTACAGTGCCTCTAAAGAGTCCTGTATTGTTATTTGTCGTCACTACTTTCTCGCGTCGGGAGTGGGCCATTTGCGCGACTACTGCCTTCCTTGCATGTCGTAGCAGTTTCTCAGGGTCCCTGTATGGAATGGAATCGTGATTCCCCGTTACCCGTGGTCACCATGGTAGGCGCAGAAACTGGCATCGAAAGTTGATATGGATGACATCCGCATGCAAAGTTGCTGCCACGGGGATGTGCGATTTGTCCGAGGTTCTCTAGTCAACAAAGTTCCAGCGCAACTATAATGTCAACAGCTACTCTGCGGAACACAGTTGTCTTATCTTATATGTACCAATATTTTGGTGGCTACCCCAATTAAAATATATATATATATATATATATATATATACAGCCAAAAGTACAAGATAGCACTCCAGGGACTTCCAAGTAGAATGAATAAAACTTAGCTTTTATTAGCTCAAAATAAAAATCAACGTTTCAGTCTGTTTCACAGACTTTCATCGGGATGAGAGATTTAAATACGGTGTAAGTAACAGAGACCTACACCTATAAGTGGAGCGCTCAAACTTATATATTGCTTACCAAGCGTTGTTTCATATCATGGTACATGTAAGAGAATACAGAAGAATACAATATAGTGCAGATGGTATATACAAAGTGACAGTGCAAAAATAGTGGTATAATCTTAATGGCTGGTACACTCACATTCCAAGGAGCCTGTATATGGAAACACTGGCTCCGTATCAAAGCTTGTGTGCTTATAATGGTAGCACCACCCTTCTACTTCGGTGTGGAGTAATTCTCAAAAACAAAAACAGAGGGAAAGCGTACCAATGTGTAGATATTGTTCATGAAAGCACATATATATATATATATATATATATATAAATGTGGTGCTCACCTGGTCCTGAGCCTATGGATCCTGGCTCTAGGTATATAAACTCTGTGCCGATTTGGATGGAGATGGCACTGCCCCTATGCAGATTCTTTTGGAGGCTCCAAAAAAGGACTTGAAAAGACTTAAAAGTAAAATAACAAATGTATTAATATAACATATGTATAAAAAAATATAAAAACAATGGATATAAAAAGTCCTCGGTAAAAGTCCTTTTAAAAAATAGCCAAAACGCGTTTCACTCTTGAATAGAGCTTCCTCAGTCAGCTGTAGTGTGAGTCCTCCAAATCTTCTATTTTTAAATGCCTTCTGGGCCTTCCCCCTTAATGGGCTGGATATATTTAGTCCAATCACAGTGTAGTTAACATATACCAAATATAAACAAATATGTATGTGTTTCTTTAATTGGTGGGGGGTTGTGGGTGCCTTTTTTAACTCCTGTTTTCATTGGTGGCTTGTAGGCGCCTATATTTTCTAATATTCCCATTGGTGGGCAATGGTGGTTGGCGGAAGTATTCCTCGGGTTCCTCAGTGGTTGGCGGAAGCGTACACGTGATCGGCACTCCGCGGTTGGCGGAAGTGATGTCATGAACGCACGTGACGCCACTCAGCCGCCGCCCGGGATGCCTCCAGCTCCCCAGCCATGCCACACCTCTCCCATGTGTGCAGGCTGGGGGGGGGGGCTTGCAGTGTGGGAGGGGGTTATCAGTGGCCATGCTGATGTGTACCACCTCTCAGTGTGGATCAGCATGGCCTTTAGCTCCTCCCCCTCCGTGTGAATAGGTTTAATAGTGACCTAAAATATATATGACAATTAATACAGATTAATAGTGATTAATAAAAAATAATGATAATAAATGATTTATCTTATTTTGATGCTGGTGAATATTATGTATTTATAAAAGTAAGTTGTGAAGGTGCTAAAGTGCTTATATTACTGTGAACTTATTTTAAAAATAATGTGAACTTTTTTAAAGAGATAGTGATGAATGACATTTAAAGAGATATATACTGTATTACAAATATATGTACTTTAAGTTGTATTCACAGTAAGGAAAAATGAAACCAGAATCAATGTGCTCGTAGATGAGGATAATCGGTATATACATTAGTATTTCATCTACGTGCATTGTAATTGTGATAATATATAATATAATAAAAACATTTAAATGTTTAAATAAAGTGACAAAGTTCAAAATCCACATTCAGACCCTGTGGTTTCAAAGTCCTGAGGTTAAATATCCACCTCATCTCACTCTGTCCCAATAACTTGGCAAAATCCCCTCCTCGCCAATTACCTTTAACCTTTTGTACACCCATGAACCTGAGTTGTGTGGGGTCACTGCCATGTGTTAAAGCAAAGTGTTGCGATACACTGTGTCCTTCAAATTTTTTCTTTATATTTCTAATATGTTCCTCGACCCTAGTATGTAGATTACGTTTAGTGCGACCTACATATTTTAGGCCACATGGGCACTCCAATAGATAAACTACATTATTTGAATGGCAAGTTATGAGGTCTTTAACCCCTTACGGACCAAACGTCTGGAATGAAAGGGAATCATGACATGTCACACATGTCATGTGTCCTTAAGGGGTTAATGGGGAATTCTTTGTTGTTATTAAAGTTCTTAAATTTTTTAAAATGTCTTTTTTTGTTGTTTGAATTCCTACATGCTAAACATGTGCCACATCCGTAGAAGCCTTTCCCTTTATCCAGAAAAGTAGTGGTTTTTGTTTTTCTAATATGGTTTTTTACCAAAAGTCTATTCAAATTCGCTGCACCCCTAAATACTATTTTTGGTTTGGTTGGTAAAATTTGAGCTAGGGTGTCATCCTGTAATAAAATGGGCCAATGTTTATTTAAAATTTTCTTTAATGCTTTATTATGGCTGTAATTACATACAATGGGTAAACAGACCTCCCCTTCATTTTGGATTTTGCTTTTCTCCTGTAGTAAAGTGCTTTGAGGGATTTGTAAAATTTGTGTGTAGGTATCTTCTAATTTCTCTTTTTTGTAACCCTTTTCTAGCAGCTCAGTGATTAGTTTGTCGGCTTGTTCTTTAAAATTCTCCTCGTCTGTGCAATTCCTTTTAATTCGTATTAATTGTGATTTAGGTACACTATTTAACCATGGGGAGAAATGGCAACTGGAAGTATGGCATATTTGTTTATATTCGGTATATGTTAACTAAACTGTGATTGGACTAAATATATCCAGCCCATTAAGGGGGAAGACCCAGAAGGCATTTAAAAATAGAAGATTTGGAGGACTCACTACAGCTGACTGAGGAAGCTCTATTCAAGAGTGAAACGCGTTTTGGCTATTTTTAAAAGGACTTTTACTGAGGACTTTTTATATCCATTATTTTTATGTTTTTTTATACATATGTTATATTAATAAATTTGTTATTTTACTTTTAAGTCTTTTCAAGTCCTTTTTTGGAGTCTCCAAAAGAATCTGCATAGGGGCAGTGCCATCTCCATCCAAATCGGCACAGAGTTTATATACCTAGAGCCAGGATCCATAGGCTCAGGCCCAGGTGAGCACCACATTTATATATATATTTATATATATATATATATATATATATATATATATATGTATATGTGCTTTCATGAACAATATCTACACATTGGTACGCTTTCCCTCTGTTTTTGTTTTTGAGAATTACTCCACACCGAAGTAGAAGGGTGGTGCTACCATTATAAGCACACAAGCTTTGATACGGAGCCAGCGTTTCCATATACAGGCTCCTTGGAATGTGAGTGTAGCAGCCATTAAGATTATACCACTATTTTTGCACTGTCACTTTGTATATACCATCTGCACTATATTGTATTCTTCTGTATTCTTTTACATGTACCATGATATGAAACAACGCTTGGTAAGCAATATATAAGTTTGAGCGCTCCACTTATAGGTGAAGGTCTCTGTTAATTACACCGTATTTAAATCTATTATTTTGTCAAGTGGGATAGAGGATATTTCCACACAAGTGTATAGAGCAGCCTGAAAATCACTTGCACTTTGTAAAGCACCTTGTTACACACATTCCTCCGTAAAAAAGAGGTCAACTTTGATTGGTATTTCATTGGGATGAGCTTGCAAATCAAATCCATAAGAATATATACCCCCAATATCCCCATAGCTTACCCAGGTTGAAGATAGGAGTGATCCCAGGGGCACCAGACCAGCAGCCTGCTCGGGTCAAACAATTGACTCTGATAATGTCATAGACGTGCGCCTCCTGGGGTCGTTCCCATAGCAACCCAGTATAACCAACAAAATAATACACATACATATAACTAAAAACATAGCCTGCATACAGGAATGAATTATAAATGTTGAAGAAAGACCTATACACCCCATCAAGGACCATTTAGATACAGAGAAAATCCATAGAGAACACGTTAGAGATAGACAGCAGGCAGAACTAATCGAAAAGCGATCAAACTGCAATTAGCCTGTAGCAACTTATTAACAAGATATAAATATACAAACTGTACTACCTAAGGAATAGATAATGCATAAAGAAAACATGTAACTTATACTACAAATACAAAAATAAAATGCAGGCATGAGCAATCAAACCTGCAAAGATTCCAATCTAACTACAGGGAGCAAAGTACCAACAAACAGCAATTGAAAGCATAATTGTACCAAGAGTAATGTATCACTCTAATCCTTAGAGATCATTATACAGGTAAAAAGAGTAGTAAAGGATATATGTCAGAACTTCTTAGTCAAAAAAGGGAGAAAACATGAAAAGACGATGCCAGATAAAGGGTGATTAAATATCCACCAACCAAACCTATGGGGAAAAGAACGTAGTGCACAATAACAAGAAGATACAAGTATAGCCACTAAGTAGAGCTGCAGTGATCTAAAGAGAAGAGGGTACCAAGAATGACTGGTGTACTCCCAGTCTAGTCCAACATGAACACATAAATAAATACATATATAACTCAAACATTCAAGCAGCAGAGCAAAGAACCAATGCATCCCCAAATCTATATAGACCGGCATACATCACATAATATATACAGCAGTGGTGTATCCTGGCTTTGTGCTGCCCTAGGCAAGACAAAACTCAGGCGCCCCCCAACCCCCCCTGCGCGCGCGACCCCCACCCATCCCTTCCCCCCCGTGCGCGTGACCCCTTCCATCCCTTCCCCCGCCTTCTAAATACACACAGACACACACACTCACAGACACACACACACTAACACACACTCACTAACAGACACACACACACAATAACACACACACTAACAGACACACACACACACAATAACACACACTCACTAACAGACACACACACACACACATAACACACACTAACAGACACACACACACACAATAACACACACTCACTAACAGACACACACACACTCTAACAGACACACACACTAACACACACTCACTAACAGACACACACTCTAACAGACACACACACTAACAGACACACACACACTAACATTAACACATGTACTTTTTAAACCCCCCCCTCCAGCCTCCTTACCTTTGGGAGTGCTGGGGAGGGAAGGGGTTCTCTATCTCCCTGGTGGT